TTACGCCACTTCATCAGCTACCATCAAGACGACTGGGCAAGGCTGCTACCGACTGCTGAGTTTGCCCACAATAACCACGACCATGTCTCAACAGGCATCTCACCGTTCAAGGCAAATTACGGGTTCAACTTGTCTTACGACTGTACTCCATTCCGTGAAAGTGTCCAAAGGTTTATTATATGCGCTACAGGGGAGGGGCTATGGCATGTATTGATGATATTGGGAGCTACTATAATTATAAATGATAAATTAAAGGTGCTTCCAGATGATTAAATACATACTAACAACGCATACTATTGGTTTTCAGTTACTCTAATGTTAAGGTTACATGTAATATACAATAGCTTAGACTCAAGATAAAATACAATCACCAAAAGGTAAGACAAAACCTGGCAAAACCTGGTAAGTCTTTTAAAGGATAGACAGGTCTAGTCAAGACTAAAAAAATATATATATATAATTTAAGCAGCGTGGTCCTGCTGCATATCAGGGAATGGGAAATAACAATTAAGGTGTTATTTATATAAGATCTGGAAGAATAAGATTATAAAGAACTATGGTGAGGGCTTTTATGGATTTTCCCTACTTGGGGAATACAGGTATGTTAATAATATCTCTGTGGCTAAAAATTGATAAGGTTGATCTAGCTTTGATAGAGGCTACTATATATAGTAATTCTGTATTGAAATCAGAAATCTAAATTGAAATATTGATTCAATATTCTTCATCATTGTGGAGTACTATTAGAGGGGTAATTCTTTCAAAGCAAATTCCAATTTTAATAGCTTTATCTCGTTGTGCCATTGATTTTACCCTCAGAGGATCTTTACAAAATATTATTATTTGTCCCATAGGAGTCCACACCAGAAGCCCAAATTTCATTCAGCATCCAGCCACATGGGCTAAATGTGGCCAGAAGTATGATGCAGCAAGGATGACTCGGCTTTCTTGCAAGAAAATGGTTGGAAATTTTGTAACCCTCACAAGTGTAACATTATCAGAGCCAACGGTGGGCCAGCTATGCTAGATGTAGCGCTAGTGTAGCGTAGTGTTAGCTTATTACGCTACCCTACCATAAAGCTACTGTTAGCGCTAATTTTTGAAAACTAACGCTACAGGATTTTGAAAAACAAATGTAGCGTTAGTGTAGCGTTTGTTGAGCCCCACAAAATACAACTAACGCTAACCAAATTTCCTGTTAGTGGTGTTGTAGCAGTGTTAGTTGTCAAAAACGCTACACTAACCAGTAGTGTAGCTTGTGTATCAGCTACGCTAACTTGTAGCGTAGCTTGTGTATCAGCTACGCTAACTTGTAGCGTAGCTTGTGTATCAGCTACGCTAACTTGTAGCGTAGCTTGTGTATCAGCTACGCTAACTTGTAGCGTAGCTTGTGTATCAGCTACGCTAACTTGTAGCGTAGCTTGTGTATCAGCTACGCTAACTTGTAGCGTAGCNTCAAACAAACCCAAAACTACAACAAGGGATCCATCAGCTTTTGAAATCTTGGAAAAGAAAAGGAAGACAGAATACAAGGAAGAAGAACAGAAGAAGAAGAAGGCCAGACTAGAAGAAGCTAAGAATGTTGGAATATTGCTGTGAATTTCCTCTTTTTCTTTCAGCCTTGTGATATTTCTGTGTTTCTTCTCCTTTCGATTGTTTCCTTTCATCCTGTTTTTTCCTTGTTTGGCTTCCTCTCTCAATCCCATCTCAATCCACAATCTCACTTAAATCACCACTCTCAACTCACAACTCTCAACAACTCGCTCAATCCTTCAACTCTTCAAACCTGTTTCTCTCTGCCTGATGAGACCTTACTGTTAGAACCTCTTCAAAACTCTCCGCTGACTTCTATTTCTTCAGTTGGCTTGTCATCTCCTTAATTCTCTTCCTTCTTCACTCTCTTCTTCAGCTCCTCTCATCAGTCAGACCTGTCCATGTCACCTGTTGGTTATTTCTTTTGACCTTCTCTATCTTTTGATTCATGTTTTCTGATTTCTTCTTCCAGTGTTTTGGCTCTAGTTAGCGTAATCAAAATATTTCAATCACAGTTTTATTAAAGAAAGAAGAACAGGAGAGGCATAAAAAATCTAAAGTGGAAGAAGAGGCTCCAAAGAAGAACGTTTGACCCATTTGAGCTTTCAGAACACCAAATGAAAAACACCCAACTCATGATCCAGACTATATTTCCCACCTCCCTGAAATCCTTCAGCCCTACATCTCAAAAGTTCTAGATGTTGAATCCAATGGAAACTGAGGCTTAAAAGTGGTTTCATATTGCCTGGGATGCGGAAAACATGACCATCTTGCTAAGCGGAGCAAACTCCATCAAGACATCAAGGAAAGAGGTAAATGGTACAAGGACCAAACTTATATCAGTAATCTCCCCTCAGTCTTGAAGAGGATCAAGGTTGAATCCAGTAGACCCTTTAGTACTTCCAAATGGATTTCAATGCCCACAGCTGGGGATCTCATTACCAACACCTTCAAATCCCCAGTCTTCTTCAGCCAAGCTTCCATCCAAACTCCACGTGCTTGCCTATGTAGATGTTTTGGCACAGTCACTGTGCAGTCTGCACAATGACTGTGCATCAAAGCTTAGTTAAATCACTTTTGGAGAATGGTTGGAGTAACAACAGCAGCTTCCTGGGACTTTCTGCATGTCAACCGCAGGCAGTTGAGCACGTTTTTTTTGCAGTGTATAATGAAAAATATGAAAAAATAATGATACTTACAGAACTTGAGTTCTGGCCAGTTGAATTGTAGGCATGTTGGCTTTTCACCAGCGCCACCCGCTAGAAGCGGAGCTACCACAGCTCCCGACCCTCACAGGAGCTATACCAAAGCCAGATTTGGCACCAGCATAGCACCCCAGATGCTGCCTATCACCCGCAATTCTGGTGATAAGCGGCAGCAACATTTCACAAATTCCCCCAATATCCACACAGGATACAGATGCACCAGGATATACGGCCTGGGCACTCCTGGACACGACAACTGTATGTACAGGTATCACCGAGTCAAATAGACTCGGTGATACCTGTCATGGCCTAGGTATGACCGAGTTACAAGGGCTCGGTGATACCTAGCGGATGTAAACAGGCATGACCAAATCCTTTTGACTTCCTGCCCGTCCCTTGCGCTTCCAAGCCGGGGGGAAGGACGGGGACCGGCCTGGGGAGCTATAATAGCTCTCTGCGGTGTATTTTCCTGGGATCGCAGGGAGCTATGCGTGCGGCGCAGTCGCCAAACCTCGAAATATAGCTCCCCGAGATCCCTCCCGCGGTGAAGATGGTCTTAGATCATACAGAACTTCCGGTGGAGGAGCCAAACCGGGGGCGGGGAGCTAATTTTGGCTTACATCCGCAATTTAGCCCCCCCGGTGGAGATGCTCTAAGTTGAGTGAGCGTGGTGGTGGTCTGGGCTGCTTACGTCATCGCCTCGTTGCTATTTCGGATGAATCGTTAATCGATTTCCACTAAAACCAAAAAACCATCAAAACAACCACAGCGACCCTCCGATCGAAGCAACCCCCAACGAGAACTCGATTCACTTGGCAAAGCTTTGCAAGACATGGTGGTGCGTCAACACTTTCTCACTAGCACTTGTCAACTTCGCTCAGCTGCCCTCTTGACTTCAATCATGCTTGCTAGGTTTTGTCGGCGTCCATCGTCACTAAAGGCGGAAGGCGTAAGTCAATTTAAAATCTGCACAGGATCTTGAACTGCCTCTCAATCAGCCCATAACGAAGAAAAAAAAACACTAATCTAACCATTAATTCTTCTTTTTTTTCCGAAAAATACGATCCAATCGGGCAGCTGTAATATCACGACAGTTTCGAGAGTTTCCACGAGCTCGGTTGGAATCGCTTCTGGCGACGTTCCCCAAGCTGATTCCGCCGTCATCGCAGCACACCGTCATTGACGATCCCACCTCAGCGATCCGTTACGTGTATCAGCCGCTGGAGGATCTGTGGCTAGTGATCTTGACCAATCGACAGAGCAACATCTTGCAGGACATCGACACCCTCCAACTTCTCTCACGCATCGTCTCGGACTTCTGTCGCGGAACAGTCACAGAGGCTGAGGTCCTTGGCAGAAGCTTCGAGGTCCTCAGTAGCTTTGATGAGGTCGTCTGTATGGGCTATCGCGAAAAAATCGACCTTAATGGCATCCGAAGCGTCATGGAAATGGAGAGTCATGAAGAAAAGATTCAGGAAATTATCGCCAAGGTTGGCGTCTTTATTCTTGAGGCCACACCAATGCAAACTACCGTTACCCCTTATCATAGCTAATCTTTCTCTTTGAGGGACTTGGTAAATCATTTGACAGAACAAAGAGCAAGAAGCCAAGGAAGAGCTGAAGCGCCGTGCCAAGCAACTAGACACCCAGCGCCGGGAAGCGCTCAAACGTGGTCAATCGGATGTCTACTCAACCGGCATGGTATTTTTTTTTCCTCTCTTGTTCTTCCCATCGCCTCCTTCATGTTGACTTTATGAAACCTGTAGGGCTCAGGAGGTGGCTACGATCGACCATATCAGCCTTCGCAGCCAGTGGCCCCTGTGGTTCGAGAGGACCCATACTCGTGAGTCCATCTTGCTAAGTTACAAAAGTCTCGGGTGAGCAGGAAGCTCAAGTTTGTTCTGAGCCACATTCAAACCGCAGAAGCCGCACAACAGTTGCCGCTAAACCATTCAAAACAAAAGGCATGCAACTCGGCAGTAAATCCAAATCTCAGGGCGTCTTGGTAGGGTTTTTTTTGCAGTATGTTAGACCTTGGGAGAGTCGCTGAACATGCCCTTCTTTTAATGATCTGGGGGGAAATTAGGGAGACGAAGACGCTGCGGCAGGCCCGTGGCCTCCTGTCTCTGTTATCCAAAACTCAGAATCTGCTGCTCCACCTACTAGTGCCGCCCCAGCTTCAGCAGCAAAAGCAGTGGATCTGAATCCCTTTGCGCCAGAGACACAAGAAAAGTGAGTGATCCCCATGGTGTGAAGGTTGGCTCAAAAGCAGAGTGGATAGAACTGACGGCAAGCTTCTCAGTGTTCATCTGGTACTCCGAGAGAAGTTGTCGGCGGAGCTAGCCCGAGATGGAGGCTTGGCGCCGAATTCCACTGGCATCAACATCTCGGGCTCTTTGGAGTTGAAGGTTGCGGCAGATAGCGAGACGAAGATCTGGGTCAATCTCAATCATGGCGTCTCTAAAGGCACCATCCCAGCTAGCGATATTCAATTCAAAACCCACCCAAATGTCGACAAGAAGGCTTGGGCTGATAGTCGAGTGATCAAGTTGAAGGACGCCGAACGTGGGTTTCCGACTAAGCAGGGCTTAGCAGTCTTGAAATGGAGACTGACCTCCAAGGACGAGACGTTGATTCCCATTTCGAGTAAGTAATTGTTATACCCATGGCGTACAGCAGCTACAAGTAAGGTCATTTATTCCAACGAGTAACATGGCTTTTTTTTAAAAAAAAAATTGATTGATTTTGTAGTCAATTGCTGGCCGACCAGCAACGATGATGGAGGGTGCGATGTGAACATTGAGTACGAGGCGGAAAACGAGAATGTGCAACTGCACAACCTAGTGATCTCGATTCCCTTACCGTAAGTGTGTGGTATGCATTAATCTAAACAAGTCAAATGCTAAGCCGTTAATCTTTTTGTTTGTGGATGATGCAGGGATGGCTCTTATCCGAAAGTGGCACAATGTGATGGGACGTACGAGATCCAAACGGAGGAGACGGCAGTTCTGCAATGGAAGATCGAGGGGGATGATGAAGGGGTTGCGCCTAGTGGGGGCTCGATGGAGTTCCACTGTCCCGACTCGGATCCAGACTCCTTCTTCCCCGTCTCGGTCGACTTTATCTCGCCAAGTATTCTTTCTCAAGTCTCGGTGAGCCTAGTTTCCCATGACATCATGTCTTTATCATTCCGTCTCTTCTTCTGTGTTGCTTAATACTCGTATTGTCTCGGTTATAACAGGTGGATCAAGTTGCGACTGTGGCTGGTGACGAGCCCATCGAGTTCTCTAGTGATGCCTTGTTGTCTACTGAAGAATATGCTGTTGTTTGAATTCCTAGCTTCTGTTAGCTCTTGTGTTTCTCTTTTTGTTTCTTTGTCGCCAAGAAATTTGTTTTGTTTGTTTCCAAGTTGAGTGTGTCCTTCACCAGAAGAAGTGTCTCTAATTTCCTCGCCCGCAAGAATGCCCGCCACTTCAACCAAACGCTCCAACTCACCAACTCAGCAATCATCCAAACAAAAAAAACCAAAAAACCCCAAAGAAAACATTGACGCGTGGCCAGCATTCTTCCAACAGCTGCAACGCGTCTATCATGTGAGTTTCCTCTTTTTCAACTCAAAGCTCTCTCTCACCTCCTGCTTCCTTTTTCCGTCAGGCCCTCAACACCGTCTTCACCTTCTGCTCAACCCGCAAGCATCTTCACACTA